CTTTTGCCCACCCCTGGATCCGCCCTTGCACTATACACTGATATCTAGCTCATACATTACTACTAAATCATGACAACTAGTAGCCTGTGAAGCGGGTCTAAGACATAGGGATTCCTGTCCCCTTTCGTCTCCCCTTCTCATACCCTAAAGACACTACTCAGGCTACACAACAACACATGCGGGCAACATCATGGCATGAGTGCTTTAGACAATGACTACCCACTGGGAAGACACGCACGAATTCATGTATCATACTTGTAGTTCATGGAGCATTTCATGGGATTATTTTGTAATCCTTGCAGTAATAAAAACAGCCGATTTGTTAACGAAGAATAAGCTTCACAAAGTACCTTACATACACATTATATGCAGTGCACTCAAAGACGCACTTAAAAACATTCAATATGTATAGTCAACGATGACAWTCATCATCTTCTTGTACTAGTTTGTGCTTAAAGCCTTCATCAATCTTGGCTTTACTATTGTAATAAAATGTTAGGGAATTTTATGTATAATGGTGTTTATCACAATTTTAATAATGCGCTTAATCAGTTCGCCACATCAGCCCCACCAACGCGGAGTCTGCGTACTGTTGGAGACCCATGCGTAGACGTAATTCAGCTCTCTCACACATCGCCATATAGAAAACCATAGAWAAAAACATCAAATTGTCAAAAGAGGTCAGAGTTAGTAACAAAAATCATACTTAAATAACTTAAATAGAGCGATTCAAAAATGCACTTCTTGCGAATGACGCGCAGAGTCTGCGTTGAGTAAGATCACTCGTAAAGTAAGATTAGAATCATGATATTTTTGAAAATATGAGAATCTGATCCTGTACATCGGTTAAAGGAATTGTAGGACATGTGAATTTATTCCCATTTACGACACCTTAACTTTTTCGGCGCGAAAGAAAAGATTAGCGTCGCAGGACCAATTTGAAGCGTCCGGCGCTATTTATACAGAGTTCACCAGAGTTCTATATTTGCGGCTATTTCGGAAGGCATTAAATACTRMCTACAAGATCACAACGCATTGTTGCTATCAAACTCCACATTAGGCTGCATTACAATAAAATTGCAATTTTATACTTAATTGTTTTCTTTTAAAGTTCTTGACTGTACAGAGGTTCAGTATACCACCCTGAAACCACGGAAACTTCTTTTGA